TATACAGGACAACAAAAAACTAAAAACTTTTGCCATGACACTAGCCATGTTGCAAGTTGTTCGCTTTTGGGGGTTCTGTTTGAATAATTTTAAGGAAGGATATAACAGTTTTTGGTTTGGGATTATCTTAAGAATTTAGTTGTTTTTTTGGAAAAGAAAACACTATGTTATTTAATGGTCAAAAAATATAAAGAGATTTGCCTCAAAGCATTAAGCTTTAGAATAGCTCGATAACTATTTAAGTCTTAAAATAGAATAAGTTAAAGTGTACAACTTATTAGAATCTCCAGTTCTGTACCACAAAATGTTATAGTTGTATAAAATTAAACTACGATTTAAAGCGTACATTTTATTCTACAAGCCTCAAGTTCTTCCACAGTTTTCTCTTCCCCATGCAACCAAAATTTTGCATGCATTTTGTGGCTCTTTCGCAACTGGAGTGCGAGCGAGGTGTAACAATAATGCCACTTATTTTTATTTTCATTCCCCAGGCAGTGGTCATAAAACTGCCATAAAAATACCCGCACAATGCTGCGGCTTAAACCGTGAAGACTTGGTAAGATCCGCTTGAGTTTTGGCCGAAAAGCACACAACGTGCAACAAACTTTGACAAACAAATCGGAGTTTACGGCTGACCAAGTGACCACATAATTACACTTTGCACTTGCCCCGAATTTGCTTTGCTCTGCCTTGTGGTCTGGCCAATGCCAATTATAAGCCATGGAATTTAACAAATTAAGCCTCATTACACACGCACCCATACTAACACACATGCACACACCCACACCCACCCAAACACACAGACACACATGCAACTGACCGCAATCCAGTGCAGCCCGCCTGTTGACACATGACCCCAACCACTTGGCCAACAACACCACCCATCGCTACCCACCCAAACTTTTTGCCCCACCCAAAAAGCCATTTTGCCTGCTTGTGGCTGGCCTAATTGCTCATAATTCAAATTGCACTCAAAGAACCCCGTCCCTCAATCCGATTTCCTCGTGGAAAAAGGTGCTGAAAGAAGTAATTAAAAGAACATACGACCGCCAATTAATAAAAGCTGGCAGGTGGGCTGCGAAAACAATTATTAAATTTTAAAATATTGATAAATAACACACTTCGACCAGCGGGTGGGCACAAAATGCCAGTTAATTGATGCATGTTTGGTGACATTTATGAAAATCGATGTGATTAGTGGTGGTCTTCACAGCTGAGATGTAAGTTTTAACAAATTACTTAATTTGAAGTTTAAAGGTAACATTTAACAGCTTCATTTTAACACAAGGTATGGGAAGTATTCTTATTTGTAATAATAATTTCTTAAATTATTCTTTCGAGTGAATGTAACCCAAGTGATTCGTAAAGTGACTTTAAATGTATTCATTTTAGAAATCCCTCAACTAAATCAAAGTTAAACATTTTATTAGCTTACCCGGCGGAGTCACAAAGCAACTTTCAATTAAATAGCTGGCTGGCAGCTAGCTCAATCTCATTCTCGTCCTCATTCCCGTTTTCATTCTCGGGCTCGTTCTCGTTCTTGGCCAGGCCAACTCCTTACGGACTTAGGGACGTCAAACAAAAGAGCGCCAGAATAACCCGAAGACCCGACCCAACCAGGCCATGAATTCATTTTAAAAAATTGCAGCTAGAAAACAAAGGGACCTGCCATTGTGCAATTAAAATTGTATGGCACTGGGGACTCCTGGCGGAGCAGGAGCCGAAGCAGAAGAACGAGCTCAGCGCCCAAGTAGTTGGCAAAGAAAAGGAGCTTTTCCGAGGACGAAAACGTGGGTGGGCTACACAAGGCGACGCTGCCTGCCGATAAGAGAAATTAAAACAAACAGACGCCGCACGCCCTGCGACTGTACAATCTGGACAATTTCCGAAGTGACACACAGGGCAAAGCAAATAGCAGGACACCAGGACATCAGGACGCAGGACGACCTCACCGAACCGTCGGCCAGCCAAACAAAACCAAACCAAAAGGAACCGAAGCAAACCAAACCGATCCGACGGTTCAATCCTGACCAGCTGGCCATGTTTACGGGCGTATCATGACAGTTTTCCTCCTGTTACTTATTTCTTTTCTTGCCCGCTTTTCCCTCCCTTTGGAGTACGTGGTAATCCAGGATAACAAGGGTATACGAGTATATAGGAAAAACAAGAGAATTTTGTATAATCATTTGTTAATTTTAAATGAATGTATAAACATGAACAATAAACTCATGAACGCACAACATTTAAAATAATTATATAAATATTCGTAATTTTTTCATTAGTTTATAATATACCTATATACCTCATTATTATCTGATCTCAAAATATGTAAGGAAAATATATCAATTTTTAATATATTCCTGCACTTTAGGTATCTTCAAGTCGTTTAACTCCACTTTAGCCTTCTGACTACTTATTTTTTTCTTGTCCTTCGTCCTGTTTACTTTGCTGGCCCTGCCTCATGTGCTTTAAGTTGTCACAAGTTGTCGAGTCCAGTTCTCGGGGAATCCCCCTTCAGGGCAGCTGCACTTGTCGTGCGGCTTGAGTCCCCAATGATATCGCATAAGTTTTTCAATTTTGTGCGTTATTAGAAGCGATTAGAGCGAAATGTTGATGGGAGGATGGGGACGAGGATGCTGAGCTGAGCTTCCATAAACACTTTGCAGCAATTGGCAGCTGGCTAAATTTGCTGTGAATGAAAAGTTTTCGTCTTCGGTTGCAAGTTTTCCAAAGCCGAATATTAAGCAAATGTGGCGGTTCGTAGGAGGGTAGAATATGACAACATTTTAAATCCTGTTTTCCTTTCATTTATAAAATTTCCCAATACCTGATACTTTTCTTACAGCATTTCATTGTTTAAATAGGATTCTTACTTCCCAAAAATAAGAAGCTATTAGAAAATTTAAAAAAAAAAAACAGACTAAAATAATCATTTTGTTTATCTAAACCACCTTATCATTTTTTGTACTATCTAAACCTCCTTACAAATAACAACTCTTTTATTTGCACCAAAGCTTGTTAAATATTCTGTTTTCTCTCACAAACCCTTGGCTTTCATCTGCGTTTGTTAATTAATGCTGAGCCCCCAATCTCCGCGCTCAATTTTCTAATTCCTGGCATAATATATGGAACTGCTTGGCCCGCTTAATGACCAGCTCTTAACGTTTTGTCTAATCCCACGACAAATCTCTCCCGGCAACGGCCCACGCTGCGTATGCGTGTCATAAACATTCGCTTCGGCCGACGACCCAACTCGATGGGAGGCAGGAATAAAAGACCGCAGAAATTAAACGACAGCCGATGGGGCTGTGGACCCAACGCATTTGCCAGAAGAGCCCAAATAAAAGATTACGCTATAAACACATTTATCTGACCCTGAGACATAAAAACCTGCGCCCTCGATAGCATTTTATAACTCAGCAAAGTGCCATAACTAACAAAGGCTAGGATCTGAGGGCCGAAACAGCCTCCTGATGAATTAAAGCCGCAGCTAGTAAAAGTTAACAACATTTCAACTTGGCGACTGATAAGTCGGCCCCCAAAAAAGCCCAAAAACCAAAACAAAAACGAAACGGAAAAGCGAAAACAAAACCTTAATGAAGCATAAAAAATGTTTATGTCCCTGGAAAACTAAAAGCGAACAACAACTGTATGTAAAAATAAACTTGAAACCATTTACGGAGGGTATATTTTAAGGCACAAAAATAAAATCTCGAAAAAAAGGACAGACGAAAGCTCAAATAAACAAACTCAGTTAGGAAAGTTTAATTGATAGTCCTGTAGGAAATTCACATCAAGAATCATGGGGGACAAAACGGGGGCATAAATAAGTAGACTGCTAGTAAATTCCTCTTTTGCGTGCTTATACCCTTACAAAAATATAAAAAAATATAATAAAAATTTAAGTGGATCGTTGAAGCATTAAAAATAAACCAAAAATCATTTGACTAAAATTTTAATATTCCTTTTAATCAGAATTAAGTAAACATTCATCAAAGAAATAACTCCTGGTTTTATTAGATAATATATTCTACCCATCGGCATACCCTTTCGAAACTTTTTATACCCCAGCCACAAAAACAAAAAGAAAAATAGTAAAAACAAACCGGTGCAAAACAAGGGCAAAGAACAGCCAGAAAAAAGTGTTAATGAACAAAATAATGAGTTCCAGTGCCGAGATTTGGGCCACAAAACATTTTATGACACTAACAGCAAAACACCAAAGGGCACTGGTCTGGGCTAAGCTAGCAGGAAAAGCGGGGAAACCCCTTCCGAAAAACCAACCAGGCAGCCACAGAGGGAAAGTCGGAGTTCGGAGTCCGGAATCGCCGCATGAAGCAATAAATAATCACCAAAGTTTCGCTGAATCGAATTATCACCCCCTGAGGTGTAGTTCCGTAATGAATTTGTTTTGGGGCTTTACTCCTTCGCTTTACTCCGGCATTTAGTTTCATTATGCTTTGCTTTTGCTTTGCTTTGGGGTCCCCCAGATTCTGCGACTGCGTGACCCGCCGATTCCCCAGCTTTTCCAGCTTTTCCACAAACTAAAATTGCAACCTCGGAATCCGTTTGTTTTCCGCCGGGTTGTTAGTTGTTTGACTTGGCTGCTCCACTTTTCCCGGGGTTTTGTTTCACAAAGCTGCGGCAGCAAATACATTTGATTTGATGTGCATACGTACTATTCAACTCGCTGTCACTCGTCCTTTTGTTTGCACTGGGGTTTTCCTATTTTCCCGCCGCTGTTTGTCGTCGCCATTTGATTCCAGCCATGGCACAAATTACAATTGGCAGCTGCATTGCGAAAAACAGAAGCTCATGGAGTTTAAATTAAAATTTAAATATTTTACTGCAAGTCAGGCGAAACTAAATAGGATTTAAATTTAAAGAATAATTTGAAGAAATTATTTTACATTTTAAAAAAGTATTTGATCACATCTCTCAAGCAAATGTTCAATCAGTTTTAAAACCATTATAAAATAAAAAGCGTGTGACCTCGCTAAAAAGATTCTTTATTTAGATTTCATTTATATTATTTTTGTTAATACGAATATTGCATTTTATATTTATAGTATACTGAATTGCACTGGTACGACTAGTATTGTTGTTCAGATCCTCCCTTATTCCTGATTAGCATCGATGGTAAAGAATCGCAAAGTGCCAATTTGACTGGTGAAGCAGGCGACATAAGGGATTGTTAGGACGAAACACATTTGGGTTCGCGTGCCTCCCTTGACGGGAAAATCCTCGCCAGTCCGTCGGTTGTAGGCAGCTGCAAAAACAATTAAAATTAGAGGTTTTTACCTAGACGACCGATTCGTAGAATACTTGCCACGTATTTGGGAAAGGGTGATTGAGCGCTGTGGGGAATCGCTTTGGGTGGTTTTGAAGATTTCCCGTAAATCGTCAAGAATGTTGGGATGTTTGCGTTGCACTTTATGGAAAAAATCATCCATTGTAGCCATGTTTTATATTTATTTTTAATATTTCTATTTATAGTAATATCACGTGAGCATGTGAACTCTGCAATCGGTCAGTGCAGTCTAAACTTCCAAAATCCGGAAATCAGACAGCAGACCTGAAATAAACAAACAAATAACAAAGTACAGGTATCCCTCTAAACAGTGAACATTTCGATTAATTTTTTTATACAAAATATTGTTTTAAATTTATTAATTAAATATATTAATTTATTAATTTTATTAATTTTTAATTTAAATATACATTTTTAATTTGTATGTAGTTCTAAATGGATTTTCTTTATTTATAGCACACTGTAAAACCGGTTTCTGTCGAGCAGCAATTGTTATCAATGCGCTTTTTCTCTCTTTCCCTTCAGAATTTCCCCTCTCTTTAGGGTTTTCTCTTTACCAAAAACATTTAGAGTTCCACCCACTTTGGTGGTGGTTTTCCCATGCCAGCTGATCGTTTTTGGTGGTGGAAAACCCAATCGAGCGAAGAGAAAAGTTTCTTCGGCTTATCCAAGATCCAAACCAACTTCAATTCAACTCTTATACAAAAGAAAAACGGTTGGAAAACTGCAAGCAACTGACCAAATATTCAACTAAATTATTTTCTATACATTTTTAATGGAAGGACGCAGCCCTTTCCCAACTTTATGCAGCCATAAAAAAACTTTGCTTCTGTTTTTGCGACTGTCCTGGGGCAACATAAAAATGAAGCACAACAAAAACCAAAGAGAGAAAAACCGAAACTGCAAGTTAAAACAAGGAAAATGGCTTCACACGAAAAAGTTGTGCTGATTTTCACACTTGTGGCAAACGAAGTAAGAAAATAATTACAAACTTCGGGGGAAGGCATCAAAAACGACCGAAAAAAGTATTATATTCAAATTATTTACAGCACTTTATTTTTGATGGCAGCACAAAAGTCGCATTTGGATGCAAAACTGAACAACACGGCGAAAATGTGCAAGTACAAGTAAAAAAAGGGGAACTTGGCGAAGTCATTTTAATTTAAGTTGTTCAACATTTCACCGCTTTTGCAAATAAATTCAGCATGAATACAAGGATGAACAGACTTCCATGAAATTAATATTTCTATAACTTGCACTCGAGCATTGAATTTCTTTTCACTTTTGATTAGAAACACATACCACTTTCGTGAAACCATACTTTTAATTTTATTTTAAGAAGCTTAAAGTTTGTACACCCGAACCGAGCTTATTTGCCGTCATAATTTGAAGCTCATTAAAACGCATTCAGTGCCAACAGGGCTAACAAACTTTCAAACTGAAATGCGAACGTTGCCATCCACACAGGACTCATACACACTTGCCCTCTTGTATAGAATTTCATGTGTCTGCATTGTGCATTTTGTGTGAATAAAAAATGTGTGCAACGAAAATGAAATTTGCAACGGAAGTTATTTCACGCTTTGCCGAGCGCGCCCCGTGCGCCGTGCGATTTTCCGCGATTTTCCCCACTTTTCCCCAGCTTTTCCGCCCGTGCATCGTGTCAAAACTAAGTAACGAAGTAACGAGCTACAGCCAGGAGTTAGAGTTGAAGGAATTAAGCAGCATAACAGACTGTCAGTGTATGAGAACGCCCACTCACATCCTGCGTAATTGGTTTCAAGTTGCAACAAAAGCGGGGCAACAAGTTTAATTAACATAAAATATGAAAGGGCTGCAAAATAAGCCAGCAAATAAATTCGAAGTGCCGTCCATGGCAAGGAAATTTATTGCAAAACCTTTCGGAGGAGGAGAAGAAATGTTTTGAGAAAAATAATCAAAGTAAATAAAGCAAAATTTTCATCACATGTGGACTCATTTATTAATTCCATGCCATTTGTGCTCTTGATTTACGCCCTCTACATAAATATCGTAATAAATGGAGCCGTTGAAGGATATTGCTTTCTGCAGGACCTTCGACCGGAGCACACGTGTGTGCGTACAAACAAGAAAACGAAAACACAGCACAAATTTTCCGATTTTGCATTAATAAATGGAATTTCTCCTGGTTTTTGGGTCAAGCATTTCGATTTATTTTCAATTTGAGCCAAGAGGTAAAGTTTTCTTCGGTTTTAGTGGCCAGCATGAATAAATGAAGCAGAAGTCGGTTGTTGCAGTTCATTGAAAAATATTGTACAGGGAGCATTTCTTTATGGTTATACATATAGGAACTTGCAAAACTTATTTTAGGTTTAAAATAACCCAAATAACCATTCAAGTAAACATGAAATAGTTTGTAAATAAAAGGAATCTGATTATTATAATATACGATGGCAAACTTTCCTTTCCTTTCATTTCATATGTAACCAACCCGTTTCAAACCTGACAGTTGGGCTTTAGCTTTGCAAAACTTCGCCAACATGCGAAAACGTGTCAGATTGGCTCTCGCAAAATATGTGTATCCATGTTTGATCGCATTTTTCGATTTCAGTTTTGCTGTTGTGCAATCAAAATGTCCGATGTCAGAACATTTGGCAATTCGGCAGAAAAGTTTCGGGTACCAAGTTTATCAATTAACGCAGCCAGCGGCTGTCAAGTGCAGCGGGCAAATGTGTGTGCAGGCCGGCAGTATTTGTGTATTTGCGATGGCCAAGATGCTTAATTGAGTGCACACAGATACGCAGCCACACACATACGTGGGCATACAGGCAAACACGTCTCAACACCTGGGAGTCCTCAAAGGATGCACCGAATGCTTGGGGTCAGGATCCTCCGCACTTGGCATCCTCAACACAAGAAACTGTCTCGGCTTGGTGAGCAATCAATTTCAACTAAATGCCGTCTTCATGCATAATTGCTTGCCATTGTGTGTGCGTGTGTGTTTAGGTGCCTGTGTGTGGACAGAAGGAGAGGGGAAAATGTTCTGTCTGAGCGAATACAACACTGCGTATACTTATCGAGCGTGCTTAATATGGCAATTAAAAGATGATTCCAATTAAGAGGAAACACTGTGCTGCGTAATCACTGCACAATATCGCCTTGTTGGACACAAATCGCATTAGCATTAGAGTCCTTTTAATTGGCATAATAAACTAGAGATGTCCGGTTAAGGAGATTCCAGTTCGCATTATGCAAATCATTCAAGTTAAAAACATTTATTTAATTGGGAAATTTTAATTTCAGCAACTTATCATAAGTTGATTTACCCACTGTAAACACGGCAAGCCTAACATTTATTTAAACTTTGCTTTCTTAAATTAACAGCAGCAATTAAAAATGATGGAAGCCAATTTCCAAGAAAACCAAATTTTAAGAAGTTATAATTTGCACAAGATGCTTTAAGATCACTTTCAAAATAAAGTAGATATTTAATTGTATAATATTAAAACTCAATTTAAACCAGAACAAATTGATAAAGTTAAAATGAGCCCATTTCCAAAATGGGCAAAGCCAAATATAAACGTTATTAAATTTAAAGCAATTTTCCACAAATCCGATTTATAGAAAAAAAAAAGGAAAATAAAGACCGCACCCTTTGAGTCATTCGACTAAATAATTTATTAGCCGGCCATAATCTATAATTAAATCGTGTAAACTGTCGCAAGCGTTTATGCGGTCGCATTAATATTAATTGCTAATATTTAGAGCCTTTAAATAGCTTAATTAAATTGCCACTTGAACAACAAAAGGAAATTACTGCCGCACTGCGTGTTTGCGGGGTCCGTGCACCTATGTTGTTTTTCTCCATTATAAAAAATAATTAACCCGCCGCAAACAATTAATCAGTGACTCCAGCAAACACGCACAAATTTTGTAGCATTTGCATAAACTGAGCAAACTAAAAATGCCATCAACATAATTAGAAATGTGATACCGGTCGCAGTGGATAATTTCGAATTGATTTATGCAAATTACAAAGCCACACGACCACATGAAAATTTCGCGAATATTAAAAAATCGTCAGCGGGGAAACAGGCATTGAGTAAATAAATTAATAAAAATAAATAAATTCAAGTGCGACTTTTTCGCATGTAACTTTTGTCGAACATTTGCTGTTTGTCCCAACTAAATATTTATGCAAGCTGTCCATGTCCTTGTCCATTTCCATGTTCGTTTTTGAAGTCCGTGGGAAAAGTGCGGCCAAGTGCAAAGCCAAATCAACCAAAATGTGCGTAATAAATATTAATTTAATTTTTTGCGCCCACTCCGCCCTTTGTGGTAATGGCTTGCCAAATTTCATCAAACGCATGCATCTGCAAATTTATGCATGTAAACTCGGACATGAATGATTCTGGGTAATAGAAATTGTAATTTATGCAAAACTAAGAACGAAAGATAAGTTTAATTACATATTCATGATTTTTCGAACAAGTTGAGCAACTATTTAGTCTTGTTTAAATATTTTGTTTTTTTCTCTTTTAATTAACTGTGTTATTCTAAATAGGGGATTTCGATTTATAAGTTTTCTTTTCTTGTTTCCTAGTATAAATTAAAATGTATGATTTATACTCCACCTTTTTCCTTCCCTGAATTTCTAGAACCAGCAGAACAGCCAGACTTAAAAGTTAATTTCTCGAATGTTGTGTGTGTTTTAATGAGAACACTCAAAATTAATAAAACAATGCGTACATTAAATGCAAATTGCACAGCCAGGCACTGTCAACACGTTGCTCCTGGATCCTTGGTCCTCCGTGCAGACAGGATGTGCCATATCCCCAAGGAGGCGACGAGGGGATGAGGGGGCAGTAATTATGAGGACATTATGGGCATTATGCGCCGCAATCGTTATTGCGTGGACATGCTGGGACCTCGACGAGGACGAAGCTGGCCAGGATGTCGATGTGGCTCCTTGCGGCGCTTCCAGCACTTTCGTTATGCATGAACCGAGTGTGTACGTTGTTGACCCACCCACCACCACTCCACTTCCCCCTCTCCCTTCTAAATTGCGACAACATTATTTAATTGAAACTAATTTGCCGTTTTGCGGCTGCCATCAAAATACTTAATGTCCTGGGGACATTTAGTTGGCCGAAATGTGTGTCAAATTACTGTGGTTTTTCACTACATTTTCGACAACTTTAAGCAACGCCTCAAAGTATGTCGGATTAATTTCCCTACACATAAAGAGTATGTATTGTGTGCCGGG